TGTAATTTTGGTACATGCTTAATAGTCGATGGACTTGTGGATTGTTACTTTTTGACTATTTGACTTTTTGGTTTCTATTAAGATGAAATTCATATGCTACATAATTTATCCTCTTAAAGTTAAGTCCAATGGCTTTCAGTACATTCACTATGCTGTGCACCATCACCTCTAGTTTGAGGACAATTTCATTACTCCAAAAACAAACTCTACCTACTAGCAGCCATTCCTCATTTCCCCTTCCCTCAGCTACCGGCAACCATGTACCCACACTCTATTCCTCCAGATTCCTTTACTCTGAATATAGTGGATTCATACAATGAGCAGGCCTTTGTGACATTTTCCCCCCTTACCCTGTTTTTTTTTTTTTTTTTTTACATATAAAAACTATAGCATAGACCAGAGGTGTGAAGAGTGACAGGACTCACCAGAGACAGAGTGGGAAGCAGAACAGGCAGATTGAAATACATTGCTGAGGGGCGCAACAGGTGAGACAGGAGACATCTATGTGTTATATGGGTTATCTCCCTGGCCAGGGATCTAGCTCAGACAAAGTGGCTGGCGATAGCTTGATAGCACTGTGTCTTTAACCCCTATGGCACCAGGGAGGCCCCCCTCCTGTTTTCAGGTTAATCTATGCTGTAGGCTCTACCAGTACTTCACTTTCAATGGCTATAAATATTTCATTGTACAAAAAGACTATAATACCCATGCATCATCTGAGAGACTTTTGGATTATTTCCTCTTTGGCTACTGTGGATAATGCTGTGAATATTTGCATACAATTTTTTATATGATGTTTCATCTCTTTTGTTTATAGCTCTACGAATGGAATTGCTGGGTGATATGGCAACTCAATGTCCAGCATTTGCCTAGAAATCTGACTGCAGAACTAATGCTACCTGTAGGGAGTGTAAAGCAAGAGATAGAAGGTTCTATGGACTATGGTGGAAGATTATTGGTGATTCGGTGGTGGGTCTGCTGGGGTAACATATTTCTGAAGAATTGTGAACTTACACCCCTATATTTGCTGTAAACAAATATGCCCCAATAAAAAATAATTTCTTTTTTAAAGAAGAAATATTTATGCATAGTGAAATGCTGTTCAGCCATTAAAAAATAAGATGGGCCCTCCCTGGTGGCGCAGCGGGTTAAAGCACTGCACTAAGAAGCTAAAGCCACTTCCGCATGAGTTCGATTCCCGCCTGCCCCGGAGGCGACCACATGGCGAGGCAGAACTCTCCTGACCCGCCCGCTGCTCCCCTCAGCAGTGTAATTCGTTGATCTCTCTGTTCTGCTTCCCACTCTGTCTCTGGTGAATCCTCTCACCCTCCACATCTCTGGCCTGTACCCCAGTTCTGTACGAATAAATAAATAAATCTTTAAAAAAAAAAAAAAAAAAATAAGATGAACTCCTACCAGTTGCAAGAGCAAGGATGGGCCTAAAAGGTATTATGCTTAGTGAAATAAGTTGTATGACATATTACAAATATGTTACACTCATATGTTGTCTACAAAGATAAACTAAACAAGTGAAAGAGCAAAACAAAGGAAAAACAAACTTTTGGATAATACAAACCAGTGGTTCCAGGAGGTAAGAGGAAAATGGGTGGGTAAATTGGATAATAGGGATCAAGGGCATGGTAAATGGTAGAATTGGACATTTAGTGTGAATTTAATATATATATTTTAAATATACACATGCTGAGTTTTAATGATGCACACCAGAAACATTATCATGTAATGAAATTCAATAAGAGAACTATTCAGAAGAGCAAAATCGGATGGGACTTGATTGGTAAGTGAAAAAAATTTCAGAGCTGCTACAGGAGTCACAAAGAATAAAATAATTTCCCCATTAAAATGACATCACAAAACCTTTTAACTCAGTGTTAAGTGACCAAAAAATAAAAGTATTTCTTCAAAAAAATCTCAAGACATTAGTTATAAGTATTAGGTGTTTATTTCTCCAGATACATTCATCCCAAGTCCCAAATAAGAAGGTATCTCAACCCATTTTGCAAGCCTTTTAAATGAAAAAGCATGTGTGTAAATCCTTGTTCCAAGTAAGTTTCCTTAGGAACTTTTTTTACTTATGGGCATTTGAGTTATGCTAGTATTAACAAATTTTTATTTAAAATGACTTTTAGTTGTGAAATAGCTAGGTCAGTCTAAATCTGTCTAAATCTACCTATGTGGGAATGTAAACTGGAATAGCCACTATGGAACGCTATGTGGAGGCTCATGAGAACACTAAATAGATCTACCATTTGATTCAACAATTCTACACTTAGGAATCTACCCAAAGGACACAAAAATATTAACTCAAAAGGAAATCTGCACTCTTATGTTTATTGCACCACTGTTTACAGTAGCCAAGATATGAACCTAAATGCCCCAAAATAGATGACTGGATCAAGGAGTGGTACTTTATGCAACAAAATAATACTCAATGATCAAAAGAACAAACTCATGCCACTTGCCGCAACATGGATGAAGCTGGAAGGGATTATGTTCAGTGAAATAAATGAGAAGGAAAAGATGGCTTCACTTATATGCAGAATATAGAGAAACCAAATAAAAGGTGAAAAAAAGTCAAAACTAGCAAGCTGACCATAGATCTGAGTCATACAGCAAGGCAGGGGGTAGAGAAGGGGGCCAAACAGGAGGGAAAAACACAAGGGAATTGGTGATGGTTCACAGATGATATGGCGGCAGGAAAACTATGGGGATTACAACAATGTAAGAAAAAATTCATTAATTTAAATCAAGTAAACCCACCTGTAAATCATTTGATCTTCCTCAAATGTTTTGTGCATAAGGACAAATTATTCCTTAAGTAGTAGTGTACATTAATGCCTCCTTTTGTATGGTGCATTAAAAAAAAAAAAGACTTCACTACATACAAAGCACTTTTTTAAAGTGTTGCATTCTCCTCCCATTCCCAACAGCCTATTTTGATCAGCCATGCCCTGCACCCCCTTCCTCCACCTCCACAGCAAAGCTGCAATCAGGAACTGGATTTCTTCCAGGGAGCATACATTTCTGGACTGTTTCTCTTTAACTACAAGTACAGGCTCAAAACTAGCCAAATACACAGGAAGATTATCCAAGTAAAGACACTAGGGAGATAAATCTGCTGGTCGCCTTCCCAAACATAATGCATCCCAAAGCAAAATACAAATGTTTGGGCTTAATAATGTACATAAGAGTCCTTGTTTAAGCATACATGACAAGTTTTATTTTAAAAAAAAGTTATTCTCATCATACACATCTAAAGCAGTCTTGGGGGATCTGTGACACCACGTTTGAGGTTACAAGTATTGCTCTCCTACTCTAGTAGCATAGGCATTGGATGCCAGGATTTTTGTAAATAAGATACTTCATGAGGCAGAATGGCAAAAAGAAAAATTTAAATGTATAACTTAAATTCCTCGACAAAAATATTATTTCACAGTTAGAAACTGGGAATTATTATTGTTTGGAAAATGCTAGCATCCTCAAAAATATTTTTTTAATTGTAGTGCAAAATCTGAACCTTGCAACTTTGAAAAGACACATTTTGGTGACATTTCCTAAGCATCTTCCTGAGGGCACGGGAATGTTATTAATCTAATAGACCATCAGCAGCATCTTCATCAAGAAGATACCTCAGATGTAAAGGTTCCACACAGACTGTAAAAAAAACCCTGGAGGTCCAAGGTGGAGGAAAAGATATATCTATGAAATAAGATGAGCTGAGCAGTCAGTCTGAGGATGGAATGAAAGATGGCAGGACTCTCCTGACCCAAAATATCACCCTTCTATAAACAGTTGGAATATTTTTTCACTTCCCTGTGAAACATTGCCATCTTCTGTGAATGACTCACTGGGTTTCACTGTCCTTGGAAAATGCAGTTGCCACAGGTTTGGTAACTGCTTGACACAGGGACTAATATGTTTCAGATTCTTTCTGTGAAAGAATTTGGTCTCAGTGTTCTCTTCCTAAACCACATGATTCATCTATAACTAAGAAAACTGGTGGGAGTGTAGAGGTGGGTGATTTGGGAGTCTTGAGAACTTCAAGAGTTGCGTAGGCTGGAAGGCAAGTCATGAATCCAGAAAGCAGATAAGCAAGGCTAGACCCCAAGCACGTCAGGAGATAGAAGAGACTGCAAAATGAGAAGACCTTGCTCTTGGGGAAAGATGTAGAAATTTGCACTTTCCTTCTTCCAAAATGTTCACACAACCCTAGTGTAGGGCCTGAAACTTGGGTCAGAACCTTAGGTGTTACTGATCAGTTACATTAGGGTTTAGCTCACTTGGAAAGCAGAGCCTGGGATCTCAATCACCAATGCCTAACATCAACTTTGTGGGAAGGTGTTTTAAAGTCTGCCTGTTGTTTGTCATGTAATAAGCAAATATTAAGTGGAGTCTTGGTTTTAAAATATAATCAATGCATTCTGAATCTTCAAAGTATATTTTATAGTAGAGAGAAAAAAGTGACCCTTTCCTAAGGAAAAAAATAATGTTTGAATTTGTGTCACTAAGATTGAAACTTCTATATTGTATATTCATCTAAAGTGATACTTCCTCTAGTATGTGTTACTTAAATGTCATGTAGGCATTACAGAGAAATCACTCCTGTATTGATGAACAACAAACAATATTCTATAAATACGTATTCTATATCATTCTGGGAATGCTACCAAGAGGTATGCTTTAAGGCTACATTTAAGATTACCATGTTATCTGAAATGAGTGTAAACAACAGAGGTACTGTTACAAAAGGTAGTATAAATATTATTGCCATCTCGGGGAAAGAAAAGCTAGTACAAATCAACTAAATACTCAAAGTGGTATAGTAAAACTTACTGCTATTATTCTATTGCAGAACAGATTAACACTCAAAAGTGCCCACTGCAGAACACCAAGAAATTCTCACTTAACTATTTTGTTATCTTTTAAGCAAGGGTAGATCAGGGGGAAAAAAAGACTTTTAAAATTAAACTTCTCTTTTGTGTTAAAAGTGAAATTTATTACAACATTGTAAGTGCAAGTGCTATTAAAAATGCTGGTTAAAACTATAAAGTGTCCATATAATACTTCTAGTATAAATATTGGCAATAACAACTTTAACAATTACACATGTACCTAGAATGTTGAAAACATAATCACTCACAAGACCAAAATATAACTTTGTACATTATCCTTTTGGGTATCACTTTTATCTTCTGGTCACAGTATCATTCTAGGATATGATGAGGGGGTGCTAATTATTCAGATTACAAATTTCAAAAGTTTGGTGTTTTGAACAGGTCAGTTACCATACATTGATAATGCTTCAAAAATCATTTATATTCTAATCTACTCCCCATATTTCCTTTCTCTATAAGTCTTGGGCAAAACAATTATGCTAGAAAAACTGTGGTTACAGGAGTCCACATGATATATATTCCCACTGATTCATTTAAAGATGTAAAATATATGTGTGTGTCCTACTGGATATGAAAGACAGATAACTCCATCAACATGTAAATAAAATGGAGCGGTTCACCACCCTCTGCTTGCTTACTTGGCTCTGTGTCTCTACAGAAAGGAGAGACCAGCTCCATGAAGAAGTAAAGGAACATCAGAACTGCTGGATTGGGGGGGGTAGTTACGAAAGGGGGGCACTTGGGCACAGCACAGGGGAGGAGCTGGGGAGTGTCAGATAATAAAGGGACAGTTAACACCTATCTATGTTTCCCCATTCTGCATAAGTAGGAAGTGGCTCCAGCCTAGCTTTCCTCCCTGCAACCAGTGGGGCTCATTATTCTGTACCCCAGCACTATGAAAACAGTCCCTGCCTTTCATACAGTGTAAAGGCATAGCTGTTCCTTCCTGACAACACTTCACAAACTTGAGGATCTAAACCTATATATTATACAAGTGGACATTTTACAAATATCACAGAGTCTGGATTCAGGCACAACATGAGGGCAGATGACACAATTTTCACAAATGAACAGCTAATTCCCAAAGATGTAAATGATTAAGTCAAGGAGATGACAAAGAAGCTAAGAAAGAAGCTTATTCCGCTAGGACTATGCTTCTCAAATCTCAATGTGCCCATAATTCACCTGGCATTTCGTCAAAATGCTCTGGGACCAAGTTGGGGCCTTGGATTCTGCATTCCTAATAAGCTCCTAGAGATGTGGATGATGCTCTTGGCCTATGGACCACATGGTGAGAACCAAGGGTCTATAGAACACAAAGTGACACCTGTCTCCGTCTGGGCCACTGTGTATCTTGGAAATCCTAAGCAGAACGAGACCGACTCCAGTGGTATCTACTGATACAAGTTCATGACAGGACAGGCATGGAAGCATGTGAAAGCGAACAAGCCTGTAAGACTGAACAGATGTTCTGAGAGCACCATGACTATATGAACTGCCAAACAAGTAAGATAGCTTCAACCTGAAAAAAAAAGGAGAGATCTATTTGCTCTTAGTAAAAATGATCTTTTTTCCATGTAGTCCTCCTTAAAGTGAACATGATATAAAGGTATTAAAAAAATCCAGCAAATTAAATTTTGTAGTAAAATGCCATTTGTGCACATATACATATAGTATGAATTCTGAGAAATTAAATGCATTTTGTCAGAATACACTGCTACCACTGCTCCCAGCTAAAATCATCTCCTCTTCCAAATATAAGGAAAAACCCTTGAATTGTAAGGAAAATGACTGCATTGCCGGCCAGCACAAGGCCACAGGCTCCCCATTTGATCTGAAACATAAGAAAAAAAAATTAAATCTTTACCTTCTTCATCTTTTACTCTATGAAATTCTCTATTATTTTCTGCTAGAAACATCCAATGAAATGTCACATATAACTGCTAAAAGATTAAATAATGTAATGGGCAGAGAGAGTAAACTATTCAGTAATTAGTCTAATTACTTCATGATGCTTGCTAATTAAGTCTAGTATCATCCTTAGCATTCTTCCCCCACTAGACATATTTCTCTACTTATTTTCAATAGACAATGATTGCCTGAAGTAAAATCATGTAGCAAGATTACAAATGGTTCAATTACAATATTGGGTATCTTCATATATTGCCTTTTTTTTTTTTTTTCATGAAAATAGGAACTGGAGAGTTATGGATTGGTTCGATATTTTTTCTTTCCATGCAAGAAAAGACTTCAAATAATAATCTACATAAACACAAAACAGCACTCCATAGTGGCAGATGGTTTTACAATGCACAGTTAGGGATGAGAGTACCCTCTAGTGGTCATTTTTTGTTGTATTTTAACCAAGAGAAAGTATCAGTTTCTTCACAAAGTATGATGCGATATAAAAAGGTAAAAATAGAAGTTTTTACAGCAAAACTTATGTATGAATCTAAAGCACAAGAAGAGTAAGATCATGACAACTTCACATTCACAAGCCTTCAATGCTTCTCTGTTACCACCCTGACATGGCATTCAAGACCCTTCCCAATCAGGCTTTACCAACATTTCTAGTCTTCATCTCATTTTCTTCCTTTTTGTTCTAACATACTGAGCTGCCCTTTATTCCATATAGCTAACACATTTTCATACTTGGCTGCCATTCCAATGAATAGCCTTCCCTACTTTAATCAAAACCCTATTTGTCCTAAAGGTCCAAATCAAATGCCAGCTGGAATTCTCTCTCCTTGGTGCTCCTATGGCATTCTGATCTTGTTTCAATTACTGCAATAGTGCATTTATAGTATACTTACCCATAAGGCCAGTTTCTCTGCTCTTTGAGAACAGAGACATTATTTGGCTCTTATTCTGGATATCTTACAAGGAACACATGTTCCAAGGGTATTTACTGAATGATTAAATAAGACTTGTGCTTATCTGATCATCATTGCCCCTAATGAAGAGTTCCATGAAATTTAAACCATTTGTAGTTGGAATAAGGGGGCAGGGTGTGTTTGGCCAGTAGTATGAAAGACAGTGAACATCAAAGAATTGAATAAATTATATACCACAATGCTTGTTTTAGAGACAAAAAGGAAATGTTTACACTGCATATGAAGATGTCATATTTATGCTGTCTTCTAGCAATTACATAGATGTTCCTTTTTGACATATTTTTTTCAACATCATATTTAGTCAACAATTGTGTCCCTGATCCTATTTGCTGAAGAATTTGTTATGATGCTCATTTTTGTACTAGAAAAGCACTGTTATGATAGTCTTTGTGGACTGCCTTTAGATAATAGGCAAAGATTTTTTTTAATTCCAGAAAAAAAGCTTAAAAAAATAAAAAAAATAAGAAATCATATGGTATCACTAAAGCTGTAAGAGAAGCAAAGAAGCCATCCTGAAAACACAGCCAAGATCCTGACAGACAGATCTAAAATGGGAAACTAGAGAAACTTTTAAAAAGTCTGGCTTGAGCATGAAATCTAAGCAACACAAAATGAACTGAGGTTCTAGACACAATCTTCTAAAGTAAATTCAGCGACAACTGGGAAAAACAATAGAAATTAAAACTTACCACAGCTACACGAGCAAGAATAACAGGAAATCCAAAGGCAGAAACAACAATCCCAGTAGTGAAAAAATATGCCAGTTCCCGACAGGCACTGCTTGTTGCATCAGAGTCATAGGTAGCTCTTTTGGCGATGAAGTGGGGGATGGGAGAGATGGCATGGAATATGAGCACAAACAAGGGCCAGTAAACGCTGTCAGTTGGAGGCAGAAGAAACCCAAAATGAGACGTTAGAGCCACAGCTTAAATTAGATACATTTATTGTTTCAAGTTGTTATTTTAAAAGGTAGGTGGAAAAAATATTCAATGATTTTTACCAGAAATAGATAAGTGCTAATTGAAAACTGCTAGCTTGTTAATATATAAGTAGCTTATACTGTGTTGAGAAACAACTGTCACAATGCATAATCTAGAATTCTGATTGTTTTCTGTATTACTGAGCAGTAATTTCTTTCAGAAGAGAATCTTAATTTAGTCTTCTTTATTTTCCCTATAGAACATGCTATACAGTGCTTTGCACAGGCTAAGTCAGTAAAAGCCCTTTCTAACAATATTACTTGGTGATTTTTGAAACACTATCATCCCTCTGGTCTAAAATTAGGAATCAAGCTCAGGTTTTTAATGACTTTGAATAAAAGCTGGATTTCCTTATCCTGACCTGCCAAAGTCTGACATGATCTGGTATTCTCTACTTCTTCCACTTCTTTTGTGCCATCTTCCCTTCATCCCTTTCATCTATAGTCAGGCTGGATTCTTTCCCTTCTTTAAATACTCCTAAGCTCATACCTGCAACAAGGCCTTTTGCACTAACAAAATGTATTGCTCAAAATGGCCCTCCCCCTGATTTTCTCTTTGGCTGGCTCCTTCTAATATCCAATCTACACTGAGATGTCTCCTCCTAAAAATAGCATTCCCTGGGCAGTCACTATAAATACCCTAAGTTTCCAACATATCATCTTCTTTTAACTTTCTAGCTTTCTTTTCACATCATCTTTTAACTTTCTAGCTTTTTTTGATGTGTTTTCTTGTTTATGAGACATAAATCTCATTTGTATTATCAATCACCACTTATTTCCAGGCCTAGAATGATATGCTCTATTAATATTTCTTGAATAAACAAAACAAATGGATTTTAACTATGGAAGGCATGAAAGTATGTATAAAACTTTGAAACACCCTCATTTTTCATTACAAGAGATCACAATATGTAATGCAAAAATGCAATCTCTTTTCTTCCTAAATGTCAATGTTTTACATAAATTAAAAATTGCCATCTGCTTTCCAAGTAAATGTGCTCTATAAATACTTCAGAAATACTTCTCTCCATCAACTAGACATTATGTGTCATTTTCTGAGAATAAAAAGCATAGCCTCCACTCATTTTATATATACACATCAATAGTATGTATCACCACAATACCACAAGCTAGAACACAAGCACTTCTGAGCAGAAGTGGGGGCAGAGCTAATTCAGACACAGATCTAGCAAGGCAGGATGGGGATCAAAAAGCAAGAAGGAAAGTGCCCTTTATCAAGAGGACACAAGATGGAAACCCTGAGCTTGATTCCTAATTTTAGACCAGAGGGATGATAGTGTTTCAAAAATCACCAAGTAATATTGTTAGAAAGGGCTTTTAGAGACTCTCTAGTTCAAAATTCTTATTTTGCCAGTGGTAAAATAGATACAGAGAGGAGAGGTGGTTTGGAATAAGACTCAGCTATCATCTGATATGACCACAGCTAAGAGTTCTCAAATCTTCCTAGAATATAATGACAGTTTTTTTAAAAAAACAACTCTGTTCCCTTTTAGTTATCCAATTAAAAACACTTTTAGTGTAAAAGCAACCTTACCTCTATATAAAATTAAAACATTAAATATGTACTATTCTCTAAGTATACTATTATAATCTGTAAATATATCATAAATGCCTATTTTTAACAATATAGTTATAATATTTAACTGTAAATATCACTACACTAATCAGTAAAGTTGATTTTTCTATAAAAGGTGAAAATAAAATTTTAGGCTGTGCAAATCGTAAGGTATCTGACTCAACTACTTTACTCTTCCACCATACGGGTTTGCCCCTAACACCCCAAAGTACCACCTTTCTATTTGATATGAGTTGGTAAATAGGGAATGCTCAAAAATATTTCCAGATAAATTAATGGCAAAGCATTCTCAGACCCCAAAATAATCTACATAATCATAGAAAACAAAAATGTTCTACTCTCAGATGCAAAGTAACTCAACATAACATATAAAAAAAATTTAACTGTAATATTTAACTGTAAGCAAAATATTAATATATTGGGTTGTCGGAAAAGTCATGATGTATTTTTTTCTGTTTTTCAAGCAGAAATGCATCATGACTTTTCCAGATCCAATATTATGATAATAGTTCCTTGCTGCTCTCTATCTGGCTGTGTTCCAATAATACAAAAAAAAGGCCACAGACCACATTTGGCCTGTAATCCTGGGTCACCACCACTAAAATATAAAACTAACTTTTTTGTAGTTGCAGTATTGGGGTCAGTTTCTTACTTTGTAAAGACAAAGTGCACCAAGGATAATTAAAACATAGATTTAGAATTAGTTGTGGAATAATGGAAACACGACAAAGTTCGAAACAGAACATGACTTCCATTTCCGGCTATACCAATTATTGGTATGTAACATGGGTTAAATCTTTAATCACTCTGGGCTTGGTTTCCCAGCTATTCAATAGAAATGAGGATAACCGCTACGTCCCTAATAGCTGTGAAAGTAATAGCTGTGAAAACTAAGTTACTGAACAACAGAAGTTGATGCTTTATAACTGATCCCTCTTATGTTGAAATACTTTCTCAGAATGTGGGTCAGACAGAGGTAAGAGACTGGACCTCATGTGTGTTGTTACACCAGATCCAACTGCCTGTTAGTCGCATCATGGTCCATCTAGTTACTCACTCCAGCCACCTGGGAGAAATCCAAGAACTCTCTCCCCTGTTGAACCCTGACACCAAGGAAAACCTGGTGATTCTGCTGTCTAGATCTCTCTCCTTCCTTTCTTTCCATCCTTACTGGCATAGCACTGTTGTAATAGTCCATTGCTGCTCTCCCTGACTACAGTCTCAGTTCTTCCTATCTAGTCTCATATTCTGGCCAGAATGATCTTTAACATACCCCATACTCCACCCTCAAATCAATTCACAGCCCCTATTGCCTAAAGGGTAAAATCTAACCTCCTTTCCATAGCATACTCTGAAGGACTGATCTCCATCTTCAGTCAGCTGTTCTTTTGCCACTCCCAATTATAATTTCTGTTCTACCCTGTGAACAGTGACCCTAGGCCTTGGCATATGGCTTTCCTGCTGCCTAAAAGCCTCTTTCCCCAGATATCCTATTTTCTTTGTTTCTGCTCACAGATCATTTCCCTGAGGCATCTACATTCTTTAGTCTTCTTACTACTTTTACCTTGAGAGAATGTGTATTATTATGTTTGTTGTCTGTCAATCCCACAGAAATATAGACCTTTGTTTTCTTATTTCTTAATCCCTGCTTTTTGTAACAGTGGCTGACATGTAGGAAGAACTCAATCAACAGTTATTGTACAGTAAAGAATTCGCTAAATGTTCCTTCTGCCTTGGAATGCCCTTCCCAATCATCTACCTAATAAACTTATTTGTCCACCAAGTCTCAGTTTAAAGACAACTTTTTCTAGGCAGCCTTTCCCATCTCTCCCAGGGAAATTCAGCTGTACTGTCTTAAGAGTTCTCACTGTACCTGTACTCATCTTCACAGGCTGACTGGACTATCTGCTTGCCTATCTCTCAAACATAACTAGACCCTAAGTTCCTTGAGGACATCTCTGCATCCTTGTATCCCAACTGGTCCAGAGCAGGTGTTCAATCAATGTTTATTAAATGAATATATCCATTTTAAGAATCTTTTATGTATACAAATACAAAGGACCCAGGAAGGGACTGTTTTTAATTTGGGCTTCCCTAATTCAGTATTTACAGCTGAGTGTTCACACCTATGCTAACAGGGATAAAGACACAAGAAAACAATTCTTTTTGAAATAACTTACCCATAATCCTCTAAGGCACATCCCAACATGAGGAAAGTCAGTCCAATAGCTCCACTAAAGGATAATGCCACAAGAGCTGTGAAATAAAGTCAAGACTACAGGTCACAAATTAGTGATTGACCAGGAAGTAGGAGAAGAAAAGGAGTTCCCACTAAGGGAGAATGACTATTAGTGGGTAGAGAAGGTGATGAAATGTTCTGTAGTTAGTAGTGACGGTTACACAATTTTGTGAATATACTAAAAACTGACAGTTTTATTCTTGAAAAAGAATAATTTTATAGCATATGAAATATATCTCAAAAATTTTTAGTAAAAATTATGAATATAAAAATTTATTAGCTAATATTACATTTGATTAGCAAATCACAACCTATGCCCACCCTTTTAAATGAGAGGGTGGAGAAAGGTCTCCAACTTCTTTACTACCCAACCTCTAATATCTGAATTCCCTCTATACTTGTCACAGAGCCAGCCAGCCAGCCAGCCCACCAGTGAAGGGAAAGTCACCACTGCCTGAGGCAGTCATTTCATTCTGACAGCTTCTAAATGCTGAAAACATTCTTTCCTTAAATTGTGTCCCAAACTGCCTCCCTGTGATACACACCCTTTGATCATTTTGCTTCCTCAAATTGCAGTACTTTAAGTATTTGAAAACTGTTTTTATGTCTTCTTAGGAAATAATTCCCAACTAGTATCCACTGAATAAAATATTCATTCTCTACATCTGATGGACACTTATCTCTGAGGGGGTAGGAACATATCTGCCCTTGTCATGCTCTAGAAAGCCTATCAGGGTTGTTCCAAAATCAGGAGCTCTGAGTCACCACAGTACAGGGCACTGACAAGTGACCCGGGGTTGAAACTGCATCTCTTTAAATGCAGCCTTTCATCTGTAAAGGGGAGGGACAGTGCCACTTTAATGGGGAACTCCTAGGAAGTAATGAAACAATCTATGTATAGTTTTGGCAAAAGGATGTGCTTGGTATGAAAACGCTGATCAATTTAGCAATGTTCTTTGATAAAGCTATAAATCAAAAGCATAGAATATGATGTATCCAAATTTTCTTTTGAAAAAAATACTCAAAATTAGTCATTGACAAAACTAACATTTTGATGTCCCTGTTTTAATTTAAGAGACTTAGGGAAACCTTTATAGGAAGGTGCCAAGATGCGTATAAAAACAGCGGAAAAATTGGGGCCCTCCCTGATGGCGCAGCGGGTTAAAGCACAGCACTGAGAATCTAAAGCCGCTTCCGCATGAGTTCGATTCCCGCCTGCCCCAGAGGTGACCACATGGCGTGGCAGACCTCTCCTGACCCGCCCGCTGCTCCCCTCAGCAGTGTACTTCGTCGATCTGCCTGTTCTGCTCCCCACTCTGTCTCTGGTGAATCCTCTCACCCTCCGCATCTCTGGCCTGTACCCCAGTTCTGTATGAATAAATAAATAAATCTTTAAAAAAAAAACAGCTGAAATATATAGACAGGGTGTGACAAGGAAGGATTGTCTAGTTTTTTTTAAAGATTTATTTATTCATGCACAAAAGAACTGGGGTACAGGCTAGAGGTGTGGGGGTGAGAGGATTCACCAGAGACAGAGAGGGGAGCTAAACAGGTGGATTGACTGAAATACACTGCTGAGGGGAACACAGGAGAGACAGGAAGGGTCTATTGTGCCATGTGGTTGCTCCCTGGGCTGCCACAGCTGTGGATAGTTTCACAGTGCTGAGATTGAACACCTTGTTCCACCAGGGAGGTCAGAATTGTCAGTTTTAATTTATGTATTTTCCTATTTTAAAGGAAAAATGTGCAGAACTAACTGTACACATATTGTTCCAACTGAGATATTCTTTTCCTAGTTGACTTTTTCTCCCTGGGTCTGACCATCTTCACTGTTGGGACCTTTCAAAGCTAGGAAAGGCAACCTTCTTTCTTTCTGAGACACCACTCTCTCAAGGTTAACAACTTACTCTCCAGTTGATTCTTTTAGTCCCTTTTTCTTTCTTCAGGAATCACATCTTCTGCCATTTCTTAAAATTGGAGATGACCAGGAATTCAATTTATCTCTTTTGTTACTCTACACTCTTGCTGAGAAAGCTCCCCTATGCCAGAAGGGTCTGGCTACCTCTGATGCTGCAACCCAGAAAAGGTCCTACCAACAAGACCTGCAACTCCAACTTTGACCTGGAATTTTCTGCCTGGTAGCAACAAGGACCTCATATTCAACACATGTCATAATGAAACATTCCCACCCTTATCTCCCAAACACAAAGTTCTTCCTTTTGAAGGATCTATGTTGAAAGGCAAACACCATCAATGTAGTCTGCCTACTAGAAAAAAAGCAAGTCAAAGTGTTCCAATCTCCCAGGCCTCCTCAACTACCTGTGTCATGTCCACACTTTAGACTAAGATTCTCTCTATTCAATCCCCAATTCAATGTCAATTTCTAACACCCAGTGCATTGGTATAAGATGTCTCTAGGAGGTGATTAAGTCATGAAATTGGATGAATGACCCCATGAATGGGATCAGTGCCCTTAATAAACAGATCCTAGAGAGGACTCCTACCCGTCCCACCATGTTAATAGGAAGAAGACAGTAGAAAGCAGGTCCTTGCCAGACAGGGAATCTGCTGGCACTTATATCTTAGATTCTCAGGCTCCAGACCTGAGAAATAAATTGTCTTTTATATCAGCCCTAAAAGGCTAAAAAGCCCACCCTCTTCTCTAAAACCCTCTGCTACTGCCCTAGTGCAGCCTTTATTATCTTGTACCTACCTCAAACTGTGACCCTTCTTTCTCATCTTCCACACCAGTGATCTCAGATATACCAAGGCAATCACCTCTTTGCAGCTGCTTTCACAGCCTCCAAGTTGTTCCTCTAGAGGCATCACTGCCAGAAGCCTGACCGCCTTTCCAGTTTCAACCCCACCACTCTCCCACCAAGCTGACATTCTAACACAGCAGCTGCTGCTGGAGAAACCTACTCTCTCATGCTCGCTGTCCATTTCCCACAATGTTCCCACCACTTGGAATACAGTCCACCCTCACCCCTTTGCCAAGGGAAGCCTCAGTGATCCTTTCAGAGTCCATTCAAGGCTTGCCTCTTCTATGCACACATCTTCATCCTCCCTGGGGCATGGCAAGTAATTCCATCTGTTGTAGTTTCCTAGGGGTGCTATGAACAGGGTACTACAAATTAGGTGGGTCAGAACAACAGAAATTTACTTTTTAACAATTCTGGGGCTTGTGTCTTAAATCAAGGTATTGGAAGGGTCACGCTCCTTTGGAAGAACCCAAGGGGAGAATCCTTCCTTGCCTCTTCCTAGCTCCTTGTGGTTACTGGCAATCTCTGGTGCTCCTTGGCTTGCAGTTGGCTTCCAACTTCTGCCTCCATCATCATAGGGTGTTCCCTTTGTCTCCATGCCCAACTTCCCCTTTCTTTTATAGATATTTGTCACTGGGTTAGGGCCCAAAATATTTTAACTTCAGTACATCTACATCTCCCAAGACCTTATTTCCAAATAAGGTCACAGTCACAGGTACTGGGGAATGGGAACTTGAACATACTGATTTAGAGGACGCAATTCACTCCACAACACTAACTTTGTGCTCCCAAATGTATCTGCACACACCTTACACACTTAAGTGGTAACATTATTTCCAGTTCTCACCCAATTATAACGTTTCATTTATCTTTTACCTAACTCTCAGGAATACAGCGATTACTCAATAAAAACTGAATGGATTATCTGCAAATGTTCCCTCTTCCATTTCATAGCCCATTTTCCTTTTTACCACATCACAATTCCTAGCACATTCACATATAAACATTGCCTTTATTATCTGATAGTTTCTGGGGCGCAACTAAACACAGTATAATACTAAGATACAACTTGTTATCTGTATTGGCTTCAAGTGGATATATTACAACACTGAGCACTCTCCTAGCAGGACAATGTTCTAGTAAATCATGTTTATAATGTTGATTAGTCAGCCAGAAAGAGTGGTAAAATGTGTCCACCACTAACAACTCATGCACTGAGATCGATTTCATAGTGAGCACACCCTCGTGCAAATATACTGTATACCTGTATGTAGCACATCTTGATAAGCTGAACAGGGAAGATCTTTGAGTACAAATTTCAAAGAGAACTCCAAGATAGAAAAAAAAAGTGATGATACTTTGTTCAAAAGATTGCAAATCTAGTGATTTCCTAACAAAACAACAGGAATCCTTCTGATCACCTCGCCCACCTCTACCATACCCCCATTCTGGAGAAAGTACACGAAAAGTGAATCCCTACCCTTTTTATCAACAACCCTGCACAAACACGACTTTGTGCACAGATGAAAATGAAGAAAGAGGTAAGATTCCACCTAAACGTCCACCCTCCCCAATTAAGAGAAACACTGCATTTCTGGGCGCTTTCTGTTGACACCCGCCTGCAAGCAATTCTGCCCAAATGGAAAAATCATCAGGAATGAGGGATTAAGTTCCCTCATGCCGAGAACGCTGGAGACAATGGCTCCTCTGTAAGCCATGGGAATCTGTGGAGCGGTAGGAAAAGAAAGGGAAGCGTTGGATAGACATGTCAGGAAGTGGAAAATATAGTTTAAAACTCGTAGAGTATTGAGAAACGGTCAGAGGACTAGAGGAGGAGCAGCGAGAAGATGCTACCCGGGCAAGCCAGGGTCTACTGCTCCCCACAAGGCCTCTCCTGGAGGGTCCCGGGTACTCCAGGTGAGAGCGTGAAGGGCAATGGCCATGAAAAAGGATTGAGGTTCCCCGAAACGACCCCCACCCCGTCCCGCACTCCAAGGGGCAAAGAAAGCGGGAAACTGCCTTCCCACCCAGAAAGGTGGGAAGCGTGGCGGGACTAGAGAAGGTTGTTCCCCACCCACGCGCTGAAGGCGCAACTCCAGCCTTAGCCCGAAACTGGGGCGACGGCCCCATCGCTGGACGAGCGGGTCTGTGCCAAGATGTACCTTTAACGCCTGCCATGTCTCCCGAGCTGGGGCCGCGGCTGCTTCCGGCTTCCTGCCACAGCCCAGGCCCCAGCCCAGGCCCGCCCCGGGCGGCACGGCCGGTACCGAGCCCGCCCACGCCACTCTAAACCCCGCCCCGCCCGTCCCAGCTCCACCCCGCCACTCGAAGCCCCACCCCCAAAGGTCAATAACTCCGCCCCTCGCTCCCGCAGTGTGAGCGTCCCGTTCCCGCCCATCTCCTCCGCCCATCTCCAAACCCAGATTTACCCGGATCTTTCGCCCTTCTCTAATTCCCGAACCTGCTGTGTGCTCTGTCCTAGACACGCCCCTGAGCCCTCAGAGCAACACCCTGCACCGCGGTTGCGGGCTACGTGAAAACTGCCTGACGGTAGAGACCGAGAAAGATGGGTGTGGGATACCCGCTAGTAACCAGCATTACATTCTCTGGAGCGCCTGTAGGCGTTTCCCTGGCTGTGGCAGGTGGGGTTGGGGGCTCCGGAGAACTGGACTTGAGGACACATCCTTGCTAAAGATCCTGCGTTTTGCAGGGCCCTGCTTGCCCTTGATTAATATTAGCTCTGATATTTTTCAAAAACTAGCGCTTCTCCTTTACATCTTGGTAATTTATACAAAGACCAATAAGCTGTTTTGTGTCTGAGACGTTCGTGGTCATATAAATAAATACTGTTATTATAATCTGGGACTTCAAATTCAACTGGTAACCAAGGCGAGTTGAGACCTGGGAGGCCATTCAGTATTTACTTTAGAAGAGTTCTGTGTAGAGGGGAAACAACCTGGAAGATACTCTTAAACCCATCCAGGTAAATGATTCCTTTCACATTTAATGGGGAGAGCCTCAGAAGGAAAAACAGGTTAACCTGAGTCAGGTGCCCACGAGTTGAAAGCAGTGGATGATGGGAAGTTTACCACTCATTCTATCAAAGAACCAGTCCGCGCTTGAATGATGCCTCTCTTCTATTGCTTTTCATTTTCAACTCGATGAAGGATAAAGGGGTTCTTGGGAACTCAGGTTCCCCTGTCTACCTTAGCAACATTAATTCTTACCATCACTACCTTTCAGGATCTCCACTCAATTCACTTTTTCAAAATATACACTAAGCATATTGTTATCTCAAGTGTTCACCTTTGCAATTATTTTTCTAGCTCTCCCCATTTCTCCTCATAGATTCAGTACAATTATTAAAAGCATTGTGTTGCCAGTACCTTATATATGCAGAAATACACTGCATTCTTTGTTAGCCTGTAATTTAATCAAGGTTTTTGAGAAGTTTCCTCTTTAGAATAGCATGTTCTTTTTAAAATATGTGCCAAAGCCCTTGGGGGAAACAAAACCCTGGAAGCCTGTTCTTTTTTGTTTCCTTATTGTAGTGCCAGACTGGTTTCATGAGGAAGTTAAAGACATTTCTCCTTGCTTGATGAGGATTTTCCAAAATTAATGGGGATTTCACTTCTTCCATTCTCAACCATCCATATGCTTTTGGAAAGCCATATATAAGGGTTTGCTGAAGGCTTCCAGACAATCTGAGGCCAGCCCCATAGCAGATTTGAAGAAATAGATTTGAAGAAAATTGACACTACTTCACAGGCATAGCTTGGTTTCAGTGCCTTAGGCTCAGCAGTAAGATGCTGGAAGATGGTGAGAAACCAATAAAATGAGGTCTTTGCCCAAAGGTAATGTCTGGAATCAGAAAAATACAATTTTCTGTCTGCACCATCTGTCCTCTCCAGTTCACTAAACTCCGTAAAGAGAAAGTCAGCCAGAGGCTTCAACCATCTCCTGAGAAAATTCACTTCCAGCGGAAAGATGCTCACTAAAAAAAAAATAATGAAATGAAATAAAATAAAAAATGCTCTTCTCCTTAGCCATTCCACATTTCCTTAAGAATAAAAACAAAGTAAAACCTTAGTAGTGAAGCTGACCTGCATCAGTATGCTTTGGGATGGATTAGATCTGAGGTCTCCCACACTGCCCTGGACTACCAGTGACCCATCGTCAAATGAATTTTAGATTCACTCCTTGCATTAAATTCCTTCACACTATGAACTAGATTTTACAACCTCCCTTTTTAGGTGGGTAACTAGTGGGGATGCTGAGATCAAGTACTAACATCAGAAAGTCCGGCAGCACTTACACTATTCCTCACATATCTTATGCCCTGCAAAAGACAGGAACTGCCATATAATTAGAAATAATAGCAACACCTATGTTTAACTGGCCAATGAAATCCATTTGTTCATTTGATTTTCCCTTACATTTCAATTAGTATCTTACATGTACTATACACAAACATTGTTTGAATTAGCAAACTTTAATGTTACCTAGAAGATTAGGATAGGGTATTTCCCTATTTTATATATTAAAAAGTTCTAGCCTCAGTTCTGAGTAAAGCCCACCAGACTGTCTTTTAAGGCAGGATTAACAAAAACCTGCCTCTGGGAAGTTTTTGAAATGTAAATGAGGTATATGTGTGTGTATATATATATAAACATAGGTCAGTGAATGCAAAATAGATTCAGTGGCAATATTCACAGTGGGGCACTCTCAACTGACTGCATAAACTAAATGCAAGTATGATGCAACACTACTGACATCAGCTAGTGTTAGTTTTCTTTCCTCTCAGCTACCCCATCTCTTCACATAGTCATTTCCTTAATAAAAACTACAGTGCAAGTTTCTTTGTTATTCTATGAAGACAAATCGGTCAGCCCAAGGAAACAGTAAAAAGGGATAGGACAGAAGTTACTTTTGGCTGTTCTTTGCTAGTAACTTATCCACTCTGCATAACCTGAAGTTACAATGTAATTCCATCCATAATACTAGCCTGTGATGATAACAAACAGCCTATGATTGTTTTATCAACTATCAATAACAACCATTACAGTGTAGTGAGTAGCCACCTAAAATAGACAGCTTATACACACATTGTCACAATGCAGAGTTATTAGAAGATCTCTCACTTACAGGTAATAAAACTGAGACTTAGAATCTTTAAGAAACTTGCCTGATGTAAAAGTCCTAAGTGGACTTTTACAAAACAGTGGACTTATACAAAACAGGACTCAAACCCAGTTTTCTGGTCTCAAGTCAACACTATAACATTATGCTAAAACATCATGGTTTATTTTAGGAACAACCAAAATTTGTTTGCTTGACCTAAATTTCTCAGTAGATGTTTCCGGCAGGCAAGCGGTCCTGTTACTATGATAACTGTTTCTAGAATTCAATTGCTGTGTTCATTCCTTACATAACAGTGTTTCATTTGTACATTAGAACCCAACGGGAATAGTCTTCCAAAGACAGTACAGTGATGGTTCAAATGCTTTTGATTTGCAGCATTTGTTAACAAATAAACACTACTTCTATCCTAACAAAACTAAAACTAACAGGTCATACAATATTTTTTAAAAGATATAACCAAAAAAAAGAGATAAATAAAATAACTGCTTTCTAAGAAAGCAGATTTCCAGGATCAATGCCTTTGCCTCAGCATAAAAATGCAGCCTGGAAAATCCATTAATTGTCTTACTCAGAAAACCCACATCTCTATGCTGATTCTTTTTGAAGCACAGTATTCAGACACCATGATGGGATGTGTAGTATGAGTATGAAAGCAAGAAAGAGAGTGTGTAGAGAAGGATGAGAATGGGTGTGGTTAAAGTTTAAAGCAAAATCTTGTCAGATTACTTCCTGGTGCAAATTTATTATGTGCTTTTTATTTTCTTCCCTATATTTTTTTTCTAAAAAGTGAATAATAAAGGTGTAATTCAAGCTTGTTATGACATCCCTGCAAGTGCAAAAATTACTTAGCTCTCTACAAGTATTTTTGAGCCTTTTAATATACATTACAAATAGTTTAGACCAATCACATTTTGTGTGTAACATATTTACAAAACAAAAAATATATTACAATAAATATGAATGAAACAGTGAATCTGATCAACAACAAGCTCTGTCACAACCAGATATTTTAAAGGAATGCAAAACCCTGTTGGTCTGCACATGTTGAGTTTTGAGATAAATAGGGGTCCAGAATTTTAATGTATCCGGAATAGAGGAGGGGGAATTCCCAAATTTAAGTTAGGTAAGATTCTTTCTCACTGTTAATTATATGTTTAACGATCTTTTAAACTGTGAATATTTATGAATTATCCAAACATGATACAAAGCTAATATAGTTCTATCATTTCAAAATGTACGTGACATTCACATAATAGCCTTTTATAATTATTATCATTATATACTGTAGTTCACACAATATCTACAAATGTGAATGAATGAGAAAAAACAGGTCACAGCAACATGTCTCACATTCCAATTTTAAATAAGACAAGCACATACTGGATCAAACATTATTTTATAATATGTTAATAAATAACAGCTAGTTTGTTATGGTTACCTTGAACAGTTTGCAGCTGTATATTTCAAAAGAAAACATTTTCTTCGAGTTTTACATTGTCAGTAAAAGGTAAAATAAATGATGAATCTTTATAATCAAAAACAAATGGAAGCGAGTTCTATACAGAAAAAAAAGTATTTTTGACATGCTGCTTTTCTGGTACAGTTTACCACACACACACACAAAAAAAATACAAACAAAAGTGATTGTCTTCTAAAAACAACTTTTGAAAGCTTTACACAATATTGAGCATGAACCCTTTTAAGACTAGTGTGGAAATCACTGTGCCCCTCTGCCTTATCTATATACTCTGGGCACACTGCGGTTGTGCCGAAAGGGGTCCACTGGTCACAGGGTAAAAGCTGCTCATCCTTCAAAGTGAGAAACTGCCAAAACACTGGACTGAAATCTAATCATTACAAGGTCTGCCAAGGTTTCATCCTTGCTTTGCTTTCATAGACATCCCTGTATCAGTGCTATTCCTGTGGACCCCCACCTACATTTAAAGCAATAGCCCCCAAGTAATAATCCAAAAAGACCACTTTCACCAGGTAGGGAGGGGAACCTGGTCCCTCAAAGCAAATCCCACCAAGCCATCTGACCCAGTCTGCAGTGAGCACAGCACTCTCACCGTGACTATACCAGGCTGGTGACAAGTGTTCAGGGCTATCTTCTCTTCTCTGACCACAACTGCTCACAAATCTAGAGGACGCTACACAAATCTAGAGTCCATATTATGTAGCAGTCCTACCAAACCACATTACAACCTATTTCCAGCTAAGAACACTTTTTTGGCTAAGGAAAAGGAAGAGCATTAAGCCTCATAACAAAATTAAAGTTTCTTTCAAGTCCAGGTTTAGCATTGTTATGGTATTAAAAACATTTCCTTTAAGAAATCACAATTTTCTAAAGGGAGAGTATGGTAGCAGCCCTACTTTCTGACTAGGAATAAAGATTCCTGTTATCCTTAGTTATACCTTATATTCTCTTATTAGCATTTTCACTACTTTTTAAATTTTTCCAATAAGAGTTGGTGGTAAGCTATTACATTGTAGTATAGTATCTTCGAAGACACAAGTCAAGTTCTTTTACAGCTGTTCCTCTTCTTGACCAAAAGAAATGTAGTATTATGCTAAGACCATAGTAAATTTCCATTAAAAAAAAAATGGTGGTTGTGTTGCTAGAATCTATATAAAGCTGTTACTCAAATTACATCTTTCCAAGAAAATCTAAAAACCATTAGTTAAAATCCATCATGTAATCCTATTATCATAACTTTTGCTCATTAATCCTCAGACAATGAGATGGATATTATGCCTCCTGTGGCCTCTATTTTTCCATTTCCCCAGAAAATGCTGAGTAGGTTCCCCAAAGGGCAGGCTGGAATATTGTGCAAGGTCATCTGACTATAAGTTCCTCTCCTGCTTTGGATCTTTTATGGTGGGGGCTGAGAAAACAAATATCCACATTCCTTATCAATAAGGAATTAATTCACAAGTAATTTAACAGGTTAGTACTGGATACATGTTACTGGAGTTTTTGGTTCATCTGTGACAACCTCAGAATTGTGACACACACTAAGCGTTAGCACAGGTCTGCAGCAGAGATGGGAAAGCTCATACATTAATATAAGGGCTTTTGGCCTTGATTTTCAAATTCAGACCAGGCATCATTGAGCTCCATGAAAATCATCTTTGCATATTGTTCATAGGGCTGCCCAGTAGCCTATGGAAAAAGCAAAAACACACATTAAATACCACAAACCTAAGCTTTACTTACATGAAATTTTTCACTGCTAATATGTGAGTGCTAAGTAACTGAAATGTTTTTCTATGAGGTAATTTACCTTTTAGCAGCCCAGTCTATGTAACCCTAATTGTGATGACTTTCCCCAAATGCCCTCCCCCTAGGAATTCACCTATAAACAAAAATGAACCTACTAGGTACAAAAAATTCTCAGACATATCTCCCATCTCTAGATTATCTACCAAGTGACTAAGGCACATCACAGCACATCTCCAATGAACTGCATTTTTAACCTCCCCTTTCCCCATTTCTAAAAATAGCTGTTCTTGGAGACCTGTAATCTAAGTCATACAGTTGGGGTAGATTGGGGTGGGGCTGAGGGTCCTGTTTCTCTTGCTATTTCAATTCATTGAGGTAAAGTGTTTCCCATTAATTCTTCTATTCAGGCCAGCCACCAAAAAACGTGGAGAAATGAAAATCAAATACATCAATTTCAAGCACTTGTTCCCATGGAGCACTTCAACCATCACCGGGTGTCACAGGCCAGGCTCACATGACAGCAAGATGACCCATTTCTGCATGGAGTGCAGAGATGACTGCTAAAACTGAACTGGAGGAGATTAAGACTAATACACTGCCTAATTTAGTCCTGCCGTGGATATTTCTGTGATTTGTGAGGGTTTCAACTTGGCCATGCAATAGTTGAACCTTCTGACATTGTAGAAAACATAGAAATACATATACTTTAATGAAAACATAAGCTAGCATAAGCAATATAGTGATCGATTTAGTTCACAAAATTTGGGATATTTTGTTGATTTCCCCAATTTTGCCAACTCCATTCTAATGCTTTTTCACTACAATGCTGGCTAAACATACTGCTGTATCTCCAGAGAAAAATTTCCTTCTCTCTATGTCTTAGTCAAGACAAAATTTATATCTAAGTCCTAAAAATTAATGGGGAATTTTATCTATGTAAGCCCCTATTCCATTATTCATCATGCATAATTTGATTGCACCTGCTTCATAAAGTATAACTATTTATTTAAATACCTCATTTTAGCCTAAGGACTTTATTACACAGATGGCCTCATAATCAGCAAATTGAAAGTCTGATGTTTTTATACATGCTCAGAAAATAAAGTACGGTGACCACACCTGAGGGGGAAAGTCATATATTTTCCAAAAAATTAATAATGAAGTAAGAAAAATACATACTGAAATTAAAAAAAAAAAAAGCAAAAGATAACTGACACAACAGCGCAAGCCATACTCACTTTATCTGGATGCACTACCAACACAGCCCTCCTGTATACCTTCTTCACCTGTTCTGGTGTCACCAGGTCTGCCATGCCAACTGGTTTCCACTTGGTCTCCCCTTCCCACAGCACAGTGTGCATCGTGGACAGAAGTGCTCTGATATTTCTCTCTTTGCCTTCAATCCATTCCAGAATCTGTAATGCAGGAGGATGAAGAAATTCAAATGTTTTTCAACCTAGTTCTCCACTGGGACTTTCAGACTCCTACAGCTCTAGCAACATCAAAGTGTTTGGGGGTCCCTGCATTCATGGGCCAACCCATTTCCTCTCCTGCAATGCTTTCCCAACTCCATCTCCTGCCTTGTCTCTGGCTAACTATTTGTCTTCTTTCAAAAGCCTGCTCAGGAATTTCATCCTGCTAGCCTTTGGGAGTTTAAATTCCTTCCTTCCTGCTCCATCCCAGGAAGTATAATTCCTCATTCCCAAAGTATAAACTCCAAGATGGCATACCCATGTTGATTTTGGTCCCTGTTATCTGCCTTGGTATGGTATGGTATGGCGCAGCATCTGACACTAAATATTCCTTGAAAAAAATGAACAAATTCCCTTCAACATATTTCTACCATGAAATGTGCCACACTTTATTGTAACAGTCTGTATGTTTGTATTCCACTACATTGGGCAGAGTTGCTTGAGAAAGGGTATTATTTCTTTCAAATAGCATGCCTGCCTCAAAAAAGAAAAAAATGCTCAGAAATGATTACATAAATTAATCCATTTAGTCATTCATTCAGACTATGAACTTTCTAGTTTGATTCTTCATAGTTTGAACAAAGAGGTGACTAGTGGGAGAGTTTGTTACAATGCATCAGCCTTTAGCACATAGCAAGGGCTCAGTGAGTATTTGTTGTTCAATAAATGCATGGTTTCACCAAGGTTAATGGTGGCTCCTCTCCCAAACAACTAAATATTCCATACCAACTAAATCATCAAACATAGTTTAAAAGACAGAGATGACTTTCTTTTAGAGGAAAGAGTCATAGTTGCCTAATGAACAAAGATTACGCAGTTGGAGTTCAAACTTTTCAAAGGAAACATAAGCCTTACGTTAAAGCAAATGAAAATCAAATTCAAATAAAGGAACCTATTTTTTAAAAAATACATATTCTAAAAGAACCTCCACAAATGCTTTAATCTATCTGAAAATATATTTTTCAAAATGCATATGATTCAGTGGTTATGTTAATCCTGTTTTTAGAGATACTTTGAAGCAATAACAAGTCAATTTCCAGTTTGTTTTAATACCAGCACATTTAGTGTTTTGTCATGTAAAACTTCTGACTCTCCATTTGCAGAGAGCATTCCAATTCTCCTGACATTTACAAACTCTTCCACTACTTCTCACAATTCATCAAGATAACCATTCTTTTTTTTCCAAGCTAACCTATGTCCATCTGTTTTCTCATCGATGAAATATAATTATAGAGTTGATGGTTTATAAATGATTTTAATGGAAAAACTTTCTTTTTTCCCCCCATACAAATCTTATCTGGACTTCCAGAACCAAAAATAATAATAATAATAATAAAATTGTTCATTTCTTCAAATAAGACATACAGATAGCCAACAGGCACATGAAAAAATGTTCATCCTCATTCATTATCAGAGAAATACAAGTCAAGACCACAATGAAATAACCTCACACCTATGGAAATGATCCATATCAGAAAGACAAGAAACGAGTGTTGACAAAGATGTGGAGGAAAGGGAGCCCCTTATCCTGTAGGTGGAAATGTAATTTGCCTCTAATGGAAAACAGCATGGAGATTTCCCAGATATTAAAAATGAACCTACCACATCACCTAGCAATTCCTCTCCCAGGTGGGAATGAAAAGAGTGCAAGACCACTCATTTGAAGAGAGAAATGCACTCCTCTGCTTACTGTTGCACTAACTACAATAGCCGACTTAGGGAAACAGCCCAGTACAAAAACAGGTAAGTTGTAAATAGTGTACCTCAATTAAGTATAATAGTAAGATAAGTAAAAGAAAGATAATTTTTCATCTGAAAAAAACAGACTTGCTCTGATCAAAAGTAGACAGAAATATTGAGAAAACCAGAAACCCCACTTCCCTCAGCCTCCTCTCTTCCACCTTTCCAAACCACCTAAAGTTAGAGAAGCTGATGATCCCCAGCCACAGGTCTGTCCACAGTGGCTTCCATGTTCATGCTTCACACACATTACTTGTGGCACAAGGACTCACTCCAAGTCAGGAGCTCACTTACCTTTAATTTTTCAGGATCCATTTCCTTAGCCATTTCCTCCTTTCTCATCTCAGCTATTGTTCGGGGTCCCTTTTTGTCTTTGTGTGCACTGAAACCTTGACTAGAAAGTAGGTCTTCAAAGTCAGCTGCTTTTTGTTTTCCTTCTGCAATACAATGCAATTCTTGAAAAATCACTGTGGTTTTTACTCTTAAACATAATCATATCATTATCTCATGACACTTCAAGATATGTTCACATGTGTTAAGCCCCTTCATCATCACATTTATCCTGTAAATAGTATATGAGATTCAAATGAAGTCTGGAAAATTATGAGGTCTGTGCACAATCACATGGTATGTCCATGTCAAAGCTAGGACTTGAGCTGTAGTATCTTGATACTAAATGCAACTATTTTTCCCACTGTCCATCTTTTCATAGCTGCATATGCTCTTGATTTCCATGCCCTTTTACTCTGCCCCAGATATAACTAATTAACTGGTACAGTATTGGGACTAAGACCTGGGCTTTTGTACTTGGGGTCAACTGTTTTCCCATCCACACCCAGGTGACGCTTTTAGTTCATCAAAGTGCTCTTCCCCCCCTTCCCTCATCCAGCCCCAATCTGGCTGGGTCTTCATACCCCTTTGTAATTAATCTGTTTGGAGAAACAGCCTAGTATGACAGTAAAGATCAAATTATCTGGAGTTAGTCTCCCCAGCAAAGGAGTCTAGTTTTTCCCATTATTAGCAATATGATCTTGAGGAAAGTTACTTATCATCTCCATGCCCCAGTTTCTTATCTGTAAAGCAGTGATTTTGTTAACACTACTACTATATATTGTTGTGAGAATTGAAAAGTTAACATTTAAAGTGTTAGAACATGCCTGACTATTTAAATATCTGTTCAATAAAACCATACAGCAGACTGTGCATCCAATGTCTGTCAACCAAACTGGTGTTTTGAGTTGATGCTCATGTGCCAACTCTGTAGGGTAAGATGTCCTGACCACAAACTTGGATGCACATGCACGTACACACACACACACACACACAAAGGTAAGTGCCCTGAGGCTGAGGAATTTGTGTTTTGCTTATTACTACCTAAGGAAATAAAAAGCAGAAGGCTGGGGTAAGAAAGAGGTAATGCTCTTTTGAGTAGCTTCTAACTCTTGTGTTTTCTATACTCAAATGCTCCATAATTATTTGTTGAAGACACTCGCCTCAATTCTATTCAAAATAAAAATTGAAAGAAAATCACATCACTTTATTAGATTATCCAAGGACTGTCCACTGCTAACCAAAAAACAAACATGATGCCACCTTTTCCCAACAAAGGAATCTCTATCATATCAATATTGTGAAAGGACCAGGAAAGGGTTGTAGTTATGATCAGGGGTTCTGGAGCCAGACTGCTTGGTTCAAATCTTAGGTTTGTCACTTATTGTTGGGAGTGACCAAGTGCAGAGATTTACTGAGGGACTGGATAAGGGCAATAATAAATCAGGCCTTGCATCCAAAGGTGATAAGGTGGTAATAAATTGGGCCTTGCATCTAATTAACGGGTCCTTGCGTCGGGATGGGACTAGATGAAGGTGATAACGAACTGGGCCTTACGTCAAGGACACAGCGATGAGTCACCCCTTTGAAATCTGAGTTTAGGACCTATATAAGAGACCCTTCCCCATTATTGAGTTGGCAGTAGCTGCAGACCCCACTCTAGGGGCTCCGTCTCAGCTGCTGTCCTGGAGCAATAAACTCTGCTTGCTCAGCCTTCTGCCCCCCGCCTTCCTTCTTGCGGCCTGTCACAGAAGTTGGGACAAAACACTTATAAGCTGTATGGAATTAGAACATTTCTCTACTGATCTCTGTCACTAATTCCTCATCTACAACATAAAATGGATTCAGAGATTATGTGAAAACTCCTGACATGTAGTAAGCATTCAATAAATGTTAACTACTATTAATAAGAAAATTAGAAAAATGTCCATGCTCCATAAAGAGAAAGTATGATCAAATCAACTGAAATGTAAAATATATCATAGCAGGTCTTTCAACAAACTCAAATTTAACTATCCTAGCTATGCAAATATTTTTACAAATTACCAACCCCACCCCACCCCCAAAAAAGATCGCATCTAGAGTGCTTTTCAGTCATAGTTATTGACATATTTGGTGTTCTTTTAACTTCATTATCAAAAGAGGGGGAAAAGGCAATATAGGAAATCCAGTCCCCTCAGTAATATCCATAAGAAAGACCAAATGTGTAAAGACATATCCACTCTTCCAATACACTCCCAAACACAGTGTTTGAAGTGTTCCCAACATTTCTTTTCTACTTTCATTTCCAAAGGATGAACAGCTTCAATATCCACTCACATCCACCCATATTCATTAAGGCCCAAAACTATGCTAGGTGCTGATGATTAAATGGCAAAAATGACATAATCCTGGTCTGGCCCTCCAACTGGTCTCAGTATAAAGGGACAGACAAGTGAGCCAACAATCAAAAGACAGTGTGGCCAGTGCAGAAACCCAGGGGCTCCAGGCACGTGGGGGGGGGGGCAGGGGTCATGCTGTGTCTTTATAACTAAAAGACTGACTCAAAAACTACTGGAAAACATCTTCTATCTCCCACTTTAGGTCGACACAGCCAGGTAACAGGAAGCCGGGCCCTGCAGCCTTACCCAAGTTCGTGGATCCTTTCCCACGTTCACTCTGACCCCCAGGCGTGGATGAGAAGCTCACGTTGTAATTGGGTCGGTTTTGCGGGGAGGAGTGTGGCATGTTGGGCTGGGGTTTAGGCTGGGGCTGCTGCCAGTTGTAGCCACCTCCCTGTTGCCACCCTCCACCCATAGGCTGGGGAGATGCTTTCTGCGGTGAGCTGAGAGGTGGAAATCCTCCACCCAATCCAGTTGGTGTGGTAGGTTTGCTGGCAAATGAAGAACTACCTAAGGAAATAAAAAGCAGAAGGCTGGGGTAAGAAAGAGGTAATACTCTTTTGAGTAGCTTCTAACTCTTTGAGCCTCAAGTTATTGTTTGCAAAGACTTTAATGTAAATGGCCTTGACAAAGAATACAATTAGCATTCCTAAGACTTAATGGAAAAGCAGGCATCTATTTCCCAATATTATCCATTTCTCAGTCCCCATATGACATTTTTAGGTATGTGTTAAGACCTCCATTTTTATTCAGATTAACCACCTATAGCTCAGAACAGTTCAGTGGTTTTCTCAATGCCACACAGCAACAAGTGGCAGAACTGAGACTTGACTTGACATCTTTGACTTGAAGCCAGAAGATGCCTGGTTTTTCCCACTGTACTATTCTCCACTTTTGCACACCTCCTAAGCAGATTTTTTTATTTTAATTTTATCTTAAACATTTTTTCTAAACAATGTTTTACAATATTATAAATATTTTAGAAGTACAAGCTCACACTTCTTCAAATGTATGATACCATACCACATGCACACCACAGTACTGATGACCCTCCAACATAGTCCTAAGCAGATTCTACAATTTCACTGGAATAAAAGCTAGCAAATTCCAAGAGTAGGGAATAAAAAAAAAAATTCACTCATTAGTCTACTTACACATCATTTATCAGGATTAATCATTGTTTTAAGTGCAAGTCTGGTAAGTAACCATGAATAAACATTGATGTTTTGAAATTTTATAAAGATTTTTCAATTTCACAATACTTGCATTTCCTTGCAGGAGAGTAAATATAGTCCAGACCAACAATTTTGAGCAGGGCAAAGGATCTTATTCAAACTTTTAAAAATGCTAATTACTTTGTGCCAGAAATTTAAGTAGAATACTCATTCCACAATCTCCTGATTTTTAAATACATACATCCTGCTCTGTTTTTCAAAATATGTAAAACAGTTGTGGCCTGTGTTGAAATAGGTAAAAGAATGCTCTCATAACACCAAAAACTAAATAATTGATAATGAAATAGTATTTATTTAGCTCTTTAGAGTTTGCAAAATACATTTACATTTACTACTGTCTTCAATGCTCACAACACTCTTAGGAGGAATGTAGTATTACTTGTTCCACTTTAAAGATGGAGGAATCATAGCTCAAAGATGTGCTTGTGATGATGCATAAACTAACAGAGTTGAGACTGGATCATAGGTATACTGCCTCCAGATGTTTCCATTTGCTACACTCACAATCTCTAATTACTTCTCAAATCTACATACCTTTCACTACCAACCCATCTTCTATTCTTCCCATAGGTATATTTACTCTATTTTCATCTGGAATGTCTGCATTCTTTCCTACTGGAAATGTTATGTATGACCACTGGATTTGGAGTCAGCCTCCGAGCTCTATCATTTAGTCATGTAATCATTCTTACCTGTCTTTATGCATTCAATCATTCATACATTAATTTATCTACTATATGCCTGACACTATCCTGGTCACTAGAAGGTAGCTGACAATAGGCTATAGCGAATCTTTGCTCTTCTGAGGTCTGACAAATAACTTTACCTCCCTGAGCTTCAGTTTCTTCATATGTAAACCTGGATCTATGTGTCACAGTACACCACAAAGTCACAACAGTTATATGGAACCCTGAATTAAATATAAAAAATGCAAGGTCACACATCCAAACTACACTGGTACATCACAAAGGCTCACTAAATATTGGATAACAGGAAAAGCTAATGACAGGGCTTGTGCTCTGAAGCCTGGCCACCCCCTCATCTGTAACTTAGAGAACAAAGCCTATCTTCATGAGTCCCTGAAAGACAGATAGGTAGGTAGGTAGAGAGATAGATATCTCTCTATAGATAGATAGATAGATAGATGATAAATAGACACATATATAGTTATTTAAAATTCAGTAAATATGGGAAAGACTAATAAATTGAAAAAAGAAAAGTCTCCACATTCTCAAGATATTGTCATTTACTCTTTTTTATTTAGGAGACACTTTTGAGTTTCTTCCATGTGCCAAGCTGCAGACACTGTGGTGAAAAAGCCCATAGACCCTGCTCTCCAGGTGTTAGCAGCATTGTGGGACTTTATGATGTCTGCTCTTCCAGAGCTTGTCCTATCCATGTACAGCAATTCTGAATCTTATGTTACTAAGGAGAGCACTTACAGAAAACATGATGTAGCACTAAGCCCAGAGGCCACTGTTACCCTCATTAACAGGAAGGCAGTGTGTGACAGCCTTTACAGTACATTGGAATCACCTGGGGAGCTCTTACCCTCTCTATATCCAAGCCACAGACAGGCCAGTTTACTCAGACAATCTATGGGAGGAACTAAGGCACTGGGGTTTTATCAGCATTCAATGTGAAAACAATTCAAGAAGAAGGACACTGTCTTTTGTTGTATCTGAATGTAGCTATATAATTTAGAAGTCTCATTTTTATTCTCAAAGTAAGTGCACAGCAGTCAAATTTTTTGGCTTTCAGCCCTTGCTCACATTCCTATTTACTATGTGACTTCAGAAAGGTTTAACTTCCCTAAGTTGTGTGACTTGAAAAATGGAGAACTTCAGAAAACTCAGGAACTGTAAGAAATACTACATTTCTAAAATGACAAAGACGTCTTGAATTCCTCTTAATAGGTTTGTTGTAGAGATAAGAGTTTGGCTATTGTGAAGCTATATTCATTGTCAGATATTAGTCAAGTAGGACTACCTCAAAGCTATGTAGCCATAAGAAAATGTCATTTAGATCTTAACCTGCTAGGTTTGTACCTAGTGTCCCAAGGTCAGCAAAAGGATCCAGAGTCTGCGGTTTGGTCTGGTGGGTGGGAGTGCCGTGTGAAGATCCTGTGGGGCTGGTGGCAGCTGACTTGCTTCCCATTCCAAAGCCTCCTGAAAAGGAATTAAGATTGCTGAAAAGGAGTTCATTTTCCAAGATTGAATTCTGAAATTCAGAGGTTCTTCCCAATTGGTCTCTAAGAGCAGATTAGATACATGGAAGTATGGTAGACGTTTCGAGACCTTGTTTCGTTAACCAAAGTGACTAGCAGCAGAAACAAGGAACAGAGAAGGCTTATGTCATTTCTTAACACACCCGTGAGCCATTATGTTCAGTTTACCTATCATGTCACCTGAACTGCATTTCTGTTGTTTTGACCTTATACTCTGCAAGCTTAGTAAGCTTAGTAAATTCCCTTGTTAGTTCTAGTAGTTTTTATTTATTTATTTTTTTTTTTTTTGGTTTTTTGGTATCTTCTTGAGGATTTTCTGTTTTTATATTTTTTGGATCAAAATAAGCTCTTTACTGTTTGCAAGGCTATTTCTATCTTGCAAAAATTCCTTGGTTTTTCTTGTAATCCTCATTCAATTTTGGGTGCCAATATCAGACTATCAGAAAGCAGGAGGATGCTTTCTTCTTGCATCTGTAGTAGAACCTTGGCAGCAGACAGAAACTGCTCCAGATCTGTCAACTAGATGTATCTGGCTTCACTTTTTCTATGGAATTTGGAGTCAGACACAGATCTGAATTCTGGCTCCAATATTTTCTAGCTGAGTGACCTTGAAAATGTTTCCTAAATTCTGAGTGTCAACATTTTGTCATTTGTTTAATAAGGAAACAGCAGCTGCTTCAGAACATATTATGTGAGAATTTGTGTGTGTTTGTGTGCATGTGCACCTGCTATCTGCACAATGTAAAGAACATAGTTACACAAGGTGATTATTAATAAATACTGACTAGTCAGGAGAGTTTATTTATTATAAACAAATCCAACCCTGAAACAAGTATTTTAGATTATTTAGCATCAATTCTATGCCAGGAGTTTTTATAAAAGTTATTTCATTTATACAACTGTTTGGGACAAGAATTATAAAACCCATCTTACAGATTAAAAAAACTGAGTTTAAGACTTGTAAAACCTCCAAGAGCTTCTAAGTGATAGAGCCAGATATATACCCACAATTGTCTAATCCTATTCCCAAGAGAGACATTCAGCAAATGAGACTTAGAAAAATTAAGTAACATATAACCCACCCCTCTGTCATGAGATCAGAGGCAATGTGAAAAGTTCTGCCAGGATATGTCTTTAGAAAATCACATAGGTGACCAATGACAGTATGTAAAGACTCACTGCATCTTGGGCAAAGGATAATCTTGAGCAAATAGTTAAAGGTACACCAAAAAAAAAAAACCTGCTGACTTTTACCTGATTTAGCATGCCAGTCCCAACCTCCTGAAACATCTGGCTGAATATTCACAGCAGGTGTACTGGAGGCTGCAAATAGGGAAAAGAAAAAGAGTCAGGACAAGACTGCTCATAACTCCCTTTTTTGAGATCATACTGGGAAATGCTATCCCTTCCAGGAAGTCTGCTCAGCCTGCCACTTTCCCAGGTGGTCCATCTCTCCTGAGTGCTTTACATGCTCTGCAAAATGAATATGTTGTGGCTTCATCTATAGTTAAAAGCCATATATTGTCTTTCTTTGTTCCCCTTTTCAACTCACTTTTATTTTACCCATATCCACAATCTTTGCATTCCAACTATAAAAATACTGTTCTCCATTAAATTGTACACTCCTTGCAGGGAAGAACCATCTTTATCATCTTTGTGTGTCCCACTTCTCCACTTAACATGAAGCCAGTGGGAAAAAAGATTTAAGAAGGTATTTTTATGAAATCAATTTATAATTCAGGTTGGCAATAACAAGTATGAGAGGCATATCAAACTTAGAACTGAAATGTTGCTTTCTCTTCTGCTGTGACATGAATTGAAAAGGAGAAGTTATCCAGAATATGTACTGAGTACTGGCTATATACTCGCCACCATGCAGGGACCAAGAGCGTGTATATTCACTCAAAACAAACTTATTGCAACTTCAAAATAGGACATATTGACACTTCTCAAAGTTATAGACACAGAATTACAAGAAATATTCAAATAAGAGAATAATGTATGTTAGAGGAAGACATGTTGGTGGAGTAAATTTTTTCTGCATTTATGAAGTCCAAATAAGAAACAAAGTGGTACCATAAAAAAATAATTTTTTTCTAAGATACTTCTAGGTTCTGTGCATACAATCAGTGAGAAAATGCAAATACTACACTAATATTGGTAGCTAGGATTTAAAATACACATACACAAATATATATACCACCACCACTACCCAAAGAATCATGAAATCACCAAGATTAGTATTACCACACCTAATATTCACCAGTTTTGTTTGCTTAGTACAAGTAGTGCTTTCCAATAACTGAGTTAAAAAGAACATACCACGATTAGCAATACCAGTTCTTTCCTTTCTATTCCACTTCTTCCACAGTAATTCATAAAAAGCTAAGATGGCATTTGAACAATTTTGCTGACATTTGCATCTGATTTCATTAAACTCTAATCATAGTCTTGCATCCAATTAATAAAATCACAAATCCTTATGTGTACCTGTTATATACAAGTCACCATCAGGAATTTATCCTCAGGAAACTTAAAATCTGATGGAGATATAGGCTATTATGGCTATTTTACTTATTATTTTAAAACTGTGTCCCAAGTAATTATTTTCCTGGAAGGAAGATATTCAAAATACTTGTTGAATTCAAAGGAAGTCTTTCTTGACTTTCAGAAGAAATTAGTAGTAACTTGTGGAAATCTGGAGGAAATATTTCAAGGGTTCAGAGATTAAGAAATCTGAACTCCCAACCTGACATCTGGGTCTCCCCTGTGGAATCCTACATGAAGATGATGTAACTAATCCTCCAGCAGTAAAATTATCATTGTTTTCCCACAAAGGATAGTAGAAATTCATCCTATTCACTGGCGTGACACAAGCCAAAAAGAGAAGTGTGGTCATGAAACAAAGGAGTATTCATGAATCTAAAATCTAAACTGAGTGTTTAGATTGTTTAATTGTTCTAATCAGCTAACAAGACAGAAAAAGGGTGACAGAGAAGTGCTGTGCTAATATGAACACCCATATCCATGGGGCATAAAAGATAGGACTCTTATCAAAATATTAAAGTGAAGAAAGTAGAGAAAGTCTTCTCCAACAAGGAGTATTTTCCAATCAATTAAAAATAGCAACATTTTTCTTCTATCTTATTAGTATATAAAATAAAGGTACATCTTATAATCAGTGTCTTATAGCTCTGACTATGAAGTCCTAGTGCAAACAAATTATTCCACAAACAAATAGGATCTAAGAAGGGTGAATCAGACAAAGTTAAATAGGCTTCTTTACTGTATAATATTCCAGAACTTTTAATAAGTCAATGCTAATTTCCAAATTTCAGACACATTATGAAACTTAAGCAAAAAAATCCCACAAAAATACTTTTATATCTGAGCAGTTACTAATATATTGTGGAAAAGTATGTTCCACTGACCACAATATAAAGTACTTCCTTACCATGCACTGTAGGTGAAGGACTTCTCGTTGGCTGAAGAAAGGGGTCACTGGAAGCACTTGATGTGTTTAGAAAAGAACCCAGCAAATCTTGCCCTGAAGGTTTAGATGGTACTCCAAATGGGTCAAAGGCGGCACCTAAAAAACAGTAACAAAAAAAGTACTTTTTCATCCTATGAGTTCATGCAATAAATATTAAAAAGTTGTTATCTCAACACATAAAAAACTGGAATATGACTGTCTCCTAGGATGCTCCAGGGGCCCAGACTACCCTTACAATTTCCTCCAGGGCTACCAATGGAGCCCTAGTATTTCTGAGCACACATAGGTAATTCCATCTTTATGGACAAAGAAGGAATCTATATTTATCTGCTGGATGAACAAAAAGATTCTAAATGAGGGCTCCTTGAATATTTGGGTATCTTAATAACATGCAATATAAGTCAAACAAGATTAAAGACTAGCCTCTGTTTAGGTCAACACAGATGAATCAGTAAGTGACTAAAGTATGCCTGAATCATAGGAGATGCTTACCAAGTCAACTGTGTTCATATTGAGCGAATCAGTAAACAAAGATCAGGTGTAGGGGTGGGGGTTCTGCTATTAAGATAATAGCCAAAAATCTCACTGACCAGACTTGATTATTTTTGTTTTATGTTTTCAGACTTTCACTGACCAGACTTGATTTAGTTTTATTATATGTTTTCAGTCTCTGACTCACTTGAAATTTAAAAAAGAGAAAGAAATGAATGTATCAAAAACTGAACTCTCATCAAATCTTACATTCTATGGAATTCAAACATTTCTAAAACTGTCTCTCAACAGCTTGTTTGAAACTAGACACTAAACATAGATTAGAGAGTGAAGAAAAGTTTGTGAGTGAATGAAAAATACTAAAACAAAATGGGTGACAAAGGCATCCAGCACAATGTAATAGCACTCCTATTGTTTCTTAGTTACTTACATTGCCTTTTCTAAAGAATATCCCAGATGACCCTCATTCTTTACATAATTAGACTGAGGTTTGGAAAGTCAATTTTCTTGCAAGTAAGTAATAGGGCTAGAACTCATATTCAAGTTTTTTTACTCCAAATTTGAGGAATTTCCCAAAGGCATCGCACATTCCTCACAGGTGCAAAATGAAAGCAATGAAAATGACTGCAGAGTTGCATGTATGTAATTGGTCTTAAATTCCATTATCAGGCAAGTAGCAAAATTCCTTTTAGCTCCCTGTAATGAGGTGTCACTTCCTAATGTCTAAGTATCAAACTAATGAGCTGACTGCTTCCTGGAGTGAGATGACTGTCTAGGAAGAGACACTGAGAATCAAACAAAATTAATGAATAAATTCTACTTTTAAAAACAAAGTAGGACTAGAGACATTTTACGGGGGTGGAGAAGGGGATGGGATCAAAACTGGGGGGGAGGAGAGGAAGTGCACTGGCCTCTGGTGATGGCACATGGCTGATTTGTTGTGGGAAGACCACGGGGATTACAACTGAGATGGAAAGAGGCACAAAATGATGCAAAAATATTGTATTTTTTTTAAAAAGAAATATATTTCTTTTATACAAAAAAAAAAACCCACTACATATGGTGTAATAGATGTTCAAGTACAACTTCACTGGCAGGACGCCCTCTTGGTATGCACTAAAGAGCAACTGGGCCTTCTGTGGCAACAGTACCAACTGTGTATTGCAGCAGTCTGTACACAATGTAGACCCCTTACCTTACTCAATACTCACAAGACTTTAGCCCTTCTATAAAGTGAGAACGCTGAGACTTATAGAGTAATTGTAAAAGAAAACAGGGATAATCCCTCTACAGCTAAGTTTGAAGCCCACTGGTAAAGGATGCTAAAGTCTCCACTATTTGGTGTACTTTTAATATTAACTTATGTTAAATTAGAGGAATTATCCAATAACGGAAAATGAACTTCCTAGCACTTAACTCAAAATGTAGTCTTTACCACAACACTGATTGGTAAGCATTAAAGGTTAAAGTTTTCATTTTCTTTTTTTTTTAAAGATTTATTTATTTATGCATACAGAACTGGGGTACAAGCCATAGATGCAGGGGTGGTGAGAGGATTCACCAGATACAGAGTAGAGAACAGAACAGGCAGAATGACAAGAGTACACTGCTGAGGGGAGCAGCAGGCTGGTAAGGAGAGGTCGGCCACACCATCACCTCTGGGATGGGGATCAAATTCAGGCTGAAGTGGCTTTTGCTTCTTAGTGCTGTGCTTTAAGTTGCTGTGCCACCAAGGCGGGCCACATTTTCATTTTTTTGAAAAGGCTACACAGATAGTTAATAATAATCTGGCCTTCAAGTACAGATCTTTAACTCTGGACTCAGTGCTCCTTCTAATTCCTCTTGAGGGACAGAATATTTGAGTTATAAGTCTGGGCCAGCCACTGACCCACTGTGTACCACTGGACAAGTCAGTCAATATATGTAGGCCCCAATTTCATCATCTGCAACTGGAGACACTGATTTAATTAATGTTTCAAAAGCCCCATCTGACGCTGAGACTGTAATACAACTATCTACTTAGAGCTATGATGAATGAAATTGTTAACATCATACAAGGTGCATGGTCTTAAAACATAAACATTAAGCACTGCGTTATCTTGGGTATTCAAATTTATTTTTCCTAACATGGAAGCAGCCCAAATGCCCAAAAGTAGATGACTAGATTAAAAAGATGTCGTTCATATATACAATGGAATATTACTCAGCAACCAAAAAACAGAAACACAGGTCTTTTGCAGCAATTTGGATGGAGCTGGAAAAGATCATGCTTAGTGGAATAAGCCAGAAAGAGAAAGAAAAATACCGGGTGGTTTCGCTCATAGCAGGAGTATAATGGACCAGGCGAGAAAATAATAAGACTAATGAACAGCCATATACCAGAGACATTTTGTGGGGATGGAGTAGGGAATGGAATAAAAAATGGTGGGGGGGGGAAGTCCATGGGACTACGGTGATGACACACGGGTGACTTGGTGATGGGAAACCCGCAGGGATTACAATTGAGATAAAAAAAAATGTACAAAATGAATTAAAAATAAACTGTTAATTTAAAAAAAATTTTTTTATTTTTCCTGACAGAACCTTTTTTCACTCAAATGAATAAGAACTAGACAGAAGGAGGTAAAGAATAGAGGAAATGGCCTGAAAGTCAGAGCATTTGGATTTATACCCTGGTCCATCAAGAACTACTCTAAGAACTAGAGCCTCAGCACCTACATTCTGTGACTCTGAGACTCACGTGGCCTCCACCTGTACTGTACAAATCAAACCCAAAGCCTCTGAGAAACAAAAGATAAACTTGGAAAAGAAAAGTCCCCACAGCTTTCCACCTATCTGTAGACTTGAGTTATTTCTCTCCATCTTCCTAATGTGGTCTCATATTGGCTAAAGGAGGCAGAAACAAGGGACAGCTGATTCTTTAGAAGCCATCATGGGCCTCTGTATCCCGAGATACAGTCTTGCAAATGTTAAAAATTCATGGATGTGGCCCTCCCTGGTGGCGCAGCGGGTTAAAGCACTGCACTGAGAAGCAAAAGCCACTTCCGCATGAGTTGGATCTCCGCTTGCCCCGGAGGTGACCACGTGGCGTGGCAGACCTCTCCTGACCCGCCCGCTGCTCCCCTCAGCAGTGTATTTCCTCAATCTGCCTGTTCTGCTCCCCACTCTGTCTCTGGTGAATCCTCTCACCCTCCGCATCTCTGGCCTGTACCCCGGTTATGTATGAATAAATAAATAAATCTTTTAAAAAAAAACCTCATGGATAAGCAGTCATATTAAGACTGCACCTAAAGCAATAAGCAGTGTGAAGCTGACTGAGCCACGTAAAGTCAAACTCTCAGCCTGGACACCATCTGCTCCACTGCAGTCAGCCATGTGGCTTGCATGAACCCCTAGCTATATCTGGAAGAAACAAGTGCTTCTCTGAACAACCAAGGTGTCTTCAAACAATTACAATTCCAGGAAGGCACTACAGGAAGACTGAAAGCATGGAAGTCAAATGACCTAGTTTGGGGTCCTGGTCCCATCAATTACTAGTTTGCTACTAATTTGTTTGCTACTAATTTGACTCCATTTCCTCAACTATCACATATGGGTAATAATAGCACCTATTTGCCAGGTTTTTATAAGAGTTAAATCCATGTTTAGTACTAAATTGCATGTTTGCCAAACAAATATCCTGTTAAATAATTGTTATTAGTAATAATTCATCAACCTACATCTCCAGGCAAAAGTAACTCAAAAATCTCAGTGATTGAAATCATGGAAAAAGTAATGAAGGATGAGAAACTCAAGTATTCATTTTTACATTGTTATACCAAAGTGGAAAATATTTCCATTTCCTCTTGTGTTCCCCATTTCAATGAAGATACCCTCTGCAAAGACACTTTCAGGGAGACCAGAAAAGTCTAGCCTATTAGGAAAGTTTAATGTTTCCTGCTTAAATAAAGCTTATCATTCAAAACTGAGTTACAGTACAACATAGAAAAAAATTACCTTCTCCCACTCTTAGGGTTGGAGATGCAGAGGTGGAGGTGGCAGACCTTCGTGGTGTTGACTGGGTGGATGCAGGCCCACTTGGATGGAACACATCCTCCACCCCCGACTGTCCAACCTGGGCAGGGCCAGCTGCACCTCCGCCCCCAAACAGGTCACTCAGCAGTTCAGAATTGGAGGGTGGAGCTGCCGGTGGAGAGAAGTTCTTACTCACTGCCGAACCTTCTAGGCCCAGAAGGTCCACCTCCTCGGGGGGTGGAGGGGGAGCTGGCTCCGGCTGCTTTTTGCTGGGTTTCTTGGCTCCATGATGCTTGTCACCACTGGCGTTTCCATGAGGACTGGAAAGGGTCAGAAGCTCATCGTCCGACTGCTCGCTTTCCTGGTTCACTAGGGCAGCGTGATCCTCCTCACAGAATGACTTCTCAGATCTCTGGTCTAAGACAGGCCAGGGTGCCAAAAAATGGTTAGTTACCTACCGTGGCATTGGTGGTTCGTGTGATAGTACATTGCACATGATCGCAGAAAGAACAAGGAGCAGCTCTAAGCAAACAGTACTTTCAGAACCTTATCAATGGAAAATGTGATATATTTCATAGTATAGTCAATGATCATTTGTTGATCTGGAAGGCAGTCTAGCCTAGCGACAAAGAGCAGGAACTCTGGAAGCAGGCAGCCTGGCTTCGAATCTCAGCTCCAGCACTTACTAACTCTGTGACACTGACAAAGTTACGCTACCTTTCTGGGCTTTGGTTTTCTCTTCAGCAAATAGGGTGATAAATAGTACCTAACTCACATGATTGTCATGAGAATCACATGAGATGATGTATAGGAAGTCTTAGTGTTTTATCTTTATTATTATTATTGTCACATTCCATGTACTATGTTAGGTGCTTTAAAAGGATCTAGTCCTTTGCTAACCCCTCTCCTGTCTTCTGTGTCTCCATGCTGCCTTTCTCCCACAGTCTGGAGCAGAAGTGAACTACATCCTAATAACTGAATACAGGGAGTGGCTCTGCCTTGGGTGGTCCTTACACCAGTAAAAAGGAGGTATTTTCAGCATAAAATGGGCAGCAGGAAAGAGGCTTCTTCTGCAGAAGAATGGCAAGTGATGTTCCTGGCCCTCTTTGAGACAGATCCTCCTGCAGGACTTTGTTACTTAATGCTAGGTAAATCTACATCCCAGAGCAGACACAGATCCCCAATTCTAAAATGCCAAAATCAAGTTTTTTTTTAAAAAAAGATTTATTTATTTGTGCATACAGAACTGGGGTACAGGCCAGAGGCTCAGGGGCAGCAAGAGGCTTCACCAGAGACAGAGTGGGGAGCAGAACAGGCAGATCAATGAAGTACACTGCTGAGGGGAGCAGCGGGCAGGTCAGGAGAGGTCTGCCACGCCATGCGGTCACCTCCAGGGCAGGCAGGAATTGAACTCATGAGGAAGTGGCTTTAGCTTCCTAGTGCTGTGCTTTAACCTGCTGCACCACCAGGGAGGGCCCAATGTGAAAGTTTTTATAGTCTTTACCTCACTCAGGATTGTTGTTTATATGTTTCACAGCAGAAATATTAATATGCTTGCTTATAAATTGTTGAATTAGATGCCACTGAGGATACTAAGTCTGATGCAGTTTATGTTCTTTAGTCCCCTTCTAAACTCCAGAAAATTCTGCATTCCTAAACACATCTGGTTATATGAGGTTTGGGTAAGAGTTCCTGCATTTGTGCTAAAACCTATTTGAAAGCCTGATAGAGATGATTTCTAAATTACTTACTAAAACAGTAGTGGAGAGGTAAAAGGTAAGTTTATATAAGTGTAGTTTATACACACACACACACACACATATATATAAACCACTCTCCTGTATATGTAATATACATATACATATGTTATATATAAATATATATATGTATGTATTACATCATTGTTCCTTTTGCACATAGTATTCTTTCTTTCCTCAGATGTAGTCCCCACAGAATTCCCACCACCAATTAACCTGTGTGTGCACCATTGCCATAATCTCTTGTTAAGTTTTATTAAAAACCCTTAGGTGAGGAAGGTAAAATGTAAAGGAAACCAACAGGGGAGTGGGAAATAACTACCTTCTATTTAGACTTCACCAAGATTTCCAATTTTTTTTTATGTTATTGGCCCATTTTTCAGTAGTAAAATCTGAAAGTAAACCTTTCAATTCAATGAAATTCTGTGAAGAATTTTTTCATGAAACACAAAAACTCTATGTAAGAAATATAAGTGGGTCTTAAATTCACACAATGGAGGAAGGTCAAGCAAGTGAATTTTAAGTAGACCATTGCCAACGCCAGTCTCTTACCCCTTCCTTAGAGAAGGTCTTTACTATTCATTTCTCCATTGAACCTTACAGTTGACCTCCAAAGATAGCAAGTGGGGGTTCATTAGAATAACACTGCCTATCTGCTGATGATAGCAGCCAGACTTGTTACACTGAAGATTTTGAAAAACATCTTCACATTTGAGAGAAAGGGTCATACTATCATCAAGTTTGATTTCTGCTTTGATTGTAAAGTCAAGTAGCAGAGATATTTGACAGAAGTGTTTGTCTTCCCTGTTCCAAGAGAAGTTCAGCTTTGAGCTGCTAATGAGTGAAATGCCAAACTTCATGTGTTTAGAATATTTAGTTGAAGACAAGAGATAGATTGCTTTGTTAATGTCTCTGTGTGTCAACAGTGTAATGGGAGGCCTGGGGAAATAACAGACTTATTCATAAATCCAGGAAAAATCTGATCCAAAGCATAACAGTCAGTCTAGGGAAGAAGTCAGCATAAGATTTTTTTTTTCCTATCACACTAAGATCATCTGAGGAATTGAAAGTGAGGTAGGAAATCTAAATTCCTTGATTTGAAAAAGGACTGAATAGGGAGACTAGGAAATAGGCAGGACCCTGTATTACTTTAGTCTTCAGGACTAATCATCTTTATAGAAGAACCATTTCTGTAATCATGGAACAATATGATTTAAAGAAATGCTTAGGAGTACCTTGCCAACAGAGAGAAGAAAAGAAACCACTTTGCCCAAAGTGCCTGGGGTTGTCTGGAGGAATATCTATTGGAGCCTGCCCTGCAAGACAAAAGGCCATGAGGCATCAATGAAACACAGGAAGTCAATGTGGCAAATGACAGTTTCATCCTGAACACAAAACCCAGTGACTCATACCTCCTAAGGCCAAAGTATCCTGATGTTCCTGGTGTGAAGAGAAGAGGATGCTGGGATTGACATCTTTTGTGCAGTAGTGTTCCCAGGGTGGGGTTAAGTCTATGACTTTATCATGAGGCTGTAGTTCTACATCCAAAGTGACCTGAAATAGCTGAGGATATTTTTCTGGTACATCACATGCATCCAACTCTGGCCTAAACCGGAATTTAAAGGAATAAGATGAGTGAAAGTGGAATCAGTGAAAAATGGATGTTCAGCACAGAAATTGTAGGCTAACTTTCCGGTTAACTCTGAGACTCTTCTAGAGAAAAAAAAATCAATCATGAAACAGATAAGATACTTTGTCTGAAGTGTTTCCTCCTCTAGCCAAATAAGAATGCCTTGTCAAGATTTTGGATACCACTGTATAGGAAGCATCCTGGAAAGCAGGCCCCCTGCATCCAGCCAGTGTGCACTAGTATAGCCAACTCAGTGGTCAAAAAGCAAGATAGTCCACAGTCACCATTCTGAGCCCTTGAATCTCACCCCTACTCTGACTTCACAAACTCCCACTGCAGCAACTACTCAACTTCAACCACATTATAACATAGCCAGTAAAGGTCGTTATCTAGTATATCAGCGTCCCTGGGATCCTACTTCAGGGCTATGGCCTGGCATGCATTCTGATGTATCAGGGTGTACACTGATTATTACTGTCATCCTGGTATAAAGGGAAGCACAGCTGCAAAGAATCACAGCGTTGATACTTTCTTCCCTCTGGTTCACTCATAGAACTTCTGAACTCCTTTAGTTCATTGCAAATCATACTCTATCAACAGCTATAATATGAATTAGTCTCTGTGTATTGTTAAGTTATATTCAACAGTCCCTCAGCACTGGATTTTTGGGAGCTATTGCTTTATAACACAAAGGAACCTAGGGTATTTGAGTCCCTGAATTGCCCAGCTGCTTGCAGTGAAAGGGTTTCTGGCCCAAGCAGCACTCACTTGGTGAACTTCAAAACTGTTGTCTCCAGTGGTATGAACCCAGTATGAAACTGAAGCTGGAATATCTGAGTGTTGGTCACCTAAAAATACATGAGAAGTACATTACAATCAGTGAGTGAAAAGGGAGTCTGCTCAAAAAAAGGTTATCTTTGGAGGAGCCACAATTCTTCAACTGTAGCTACATCTGCATTTCTATTTGCTGTGAACATTGAATGACTTTCCCATCTGGAACTGACCCAGTTCCATTTCCAGCCTCTCCACGAACTCTGCATTGACAAGCCATTTGCTCATCTGTTAATATTCTTGCATATAATTGCATGTTCTTGCATATTGCCATACTTTGACTTATCCCTTTAATTCCATGCAGGATAGGCCTGCTCCAATCTGATAAACTCATCCTTCAAATTATGCCTTGAAAGACCATATCTTCTAAGTCACCTTTCTGGGCCACTTCTGGCTAAAAGAAAAACAACTGTTCATCTTTATAGCATCTATCCTACTTCTAATCAGGTAATGAATATTTGTACATGTGTGAAGTTCCTCTGCTAGACTAGACTCCTTGGAGGCAGGCACACAGTCTTATTCTTGTCAATCCTAAACACCTAAGCAATGACTGTTACAGAATATACACTGAGCAAATATTTGATAAAGAAAATAATAGATATACTATCAATATCCAAAGGGTGTCAATAACCCAAATGTCATCAACTGAAGATGTAAATAAACAAATATCATATGTTGTAAGTAAGCAAACATTGTATGACTCCAATCATGAAATTTCCCATCTGGGCAATTCCACAGAAACAAAGTAGATGTGTGGTTGCTTAGGGGGTGGGAGAGGGAAATTGAGCGGTGGCTGCTAATAGATCCAGAGTTTCTTTTAAGAGCAATAAAAATGCTCAAGAATTAGTGGTGAATATTGTACAACCTTTTGAAATACTGAAAAAACACTGCACTGTACACTTGTTAAAGGGGTGGATTTTCATGTTATATGAATTTTATCACAGTAAAAATTGAAAAGAAAATATAATTACTTGAGCCCACATCCTTAATAGAAATATCTCCCCTGACAATCTAAATGGGACACTACAAAAGAGGCACACGCTTCAAAAGAACAAGGTTTGCTAGAAGTTCTAGAACTGCCACCTTCTGGCAACATAACCACACCAAGGACTTTGGGTAAGCCACAGCCTCCCTAATTCTTAGTTTCCTCCCCTGTGAATGAGGGAGAGGGGCAGATATAATCTTTAAAGGCTTTTTCCAATCAAAACTCATGGCTCTGAGAAGGTTAAGCCATGAGTCTTTCTGAAGCCATACCTTAGCCTGTAGCCGGCTCCCAATGGTTGACCTCAAGTGATACATGGAAACAACCACATCTCCTTGCACAGTGATGTTCAAAGGAATGAAGATTTTTCCATCTTGGACACGATATTCTCTTTAAACAAAGGCAAAAGCAGACAATGACATTATACCCATGGCTACAGTCATACTGGTATAGTCCTCTATGGCTCTAGACTAGGGACCTGTTTACCAGGCCTGAAACCAGAACCACTGCCTATTTTTGAGCAAAGTTAGGAGCACAGCCAGTGCCACCGGGGTGAAGACAGTTTCTGACAATGGGTAATGTTAGTGTGCTACTAGGCCCTCTCTCCCCATTCCATCTAGAGTTCCAAATGAATCAAGTGTCCATCCCTACTTTAAAGATCTCATTTTCTTAAATATATTAGCCCTAATATGTTTCCCTTTTCTAAACTTTAAATTAAAAGCAGAGACAAAACTTCAACCAACATTAGTATAGATCACCACTAAGTTGAACACTTTTTTATGTCAGACACTTCACTATGATGTAGTCTACATAGGAAAAATATGATCCAACTTATACAAGAATTGTTCAAAAGAAATGAAGAGAAGCATGACTTACTTCATTCGCTCAAAATCTGTGCATGTTGTGTATATTTTTGTTTCTCCAATAAGTACATCACAGTAAGGGCGACATCCATTTCTCTGTTTGTTAAAAAAAGGGATTGGACTGACAGTGATTGACTTAATGGTGAGAGGCTTGAAGTGAGGGCGATAGGGTTTGTCCGCTAGTAAGTCACACATATAGCCTAGGTATCTGAAATAGAGGATCAATATTTGGTTGATACCCATGACACTGAAGAAAGAAGCAGTTAATTTTTGCTAAGAGATTTGTTTTTGTAAACTGGTAAATTATGATAAAAATGTACCATATTAATTTCTTAATCATCAACTAGCAAAAGAAAATCCAGCCCATGATTTGGAGAGCTTTTATCTCATGGCACAGCTATATTTTCCCCTTTATCCCTGATAAAGGAAGGGATATTTATTAATTGAAAGAACTTATGGGAGCTATAAAATAGCTCCAAAATTGAACATCTATTCCTCTTGCATGTTAAATTTATCAGCTAAGAACTAGCTTTGGGAAAACCTCAACCTCAAAATTTACCATCAGCAGTACTCTTTTTTTTTTTTTTTTTTGAATAGTTTTATTTTCACTTGGGATTTTCTTTCTATTAGATTCATTACCAAGAATAAAACTGCTGGCTCCAAAGGTATAGCAATGACTAATTTTATGAAATGTTGTTAGATTGATTTCCAAAACAGTGTTGGTATTTCCTATTCCCAATGTACTATTTTCTCACATCTCACCTACAATAGGTGTACTTAGTCTTTTAAGTTTTGCTGTTCTGATGGGTGTAAGAAGATAGCTAATTAGTTTGCATTGCCATATGAGTGACTGTGAATTTCTATTCACATATTATCAAGCATCAAAATTA